CCTTCTTTTGGCTCCACTTATACTTCTATTATATATATATATATATATATATATATATATACACACACACACACACACACACACACACATTCCTAATATGCTGGCAGTGCACTCTGCTACCACATGTATATAATACACACTACTGGCACCTGGCAGTGTTCTGCTCTCTCTCTCTCTCTCTCTCTCTCTCTCTATATATATATATATATATATATATATATATATATATATATATATATTTATTTATTTATTTATTTATTGCCTAGGCGCTGCCTAGTCAACTAGGCGGTTGGAACATCGTGCCTAGAAAGTACGCCTTGATAACCATGGGTGTACTGATCATAGGGGGGATCACAGCTTCATACAATCATGAGGGAGAGGAGACAAGCTGTTCATGGCACTTAGGAGTTCTAAAGTGGATAAACATTGATGTATTATGGCCTGAAGATTATTAATAGGAACTAGGAAGCATGCAACTCCATGATCTAGAGTGCATGGGTAATTCTAATATATTTTTTGATTTCTCTGTTGTTATTGTTATAATAATAATAATAATTATTATTATTATTACTACTCCTTTTGTTCCATTTTACATGTCTTGTTTACTATTCAGGCCATAAAAACTCCATGATCTAGAGTGCATGGGTAATTCTAATATATTTTTCGATTTCTCTGTTGTTATTGTTATAATAATAATAATAATAATTATTATTATTATTATTATTATTACTACTCCTTTTGTTCCATTTTACATGTCTTGTTTACTATTCATTGGTCAAACCAACTCTTTCTTCTTTGCTTATATTCTTTAGTATTTTTTTGTGTTTAATACTCCATAGTATTTTTTATGTAGTTTCTAAATATATAAATTTTATATGCTAATACTAAACTTAACATTATGAAAAATTGAATTATAACTTCAGTCAAGCATCGTTAACCAAACCAGACACATAATATGGGACGGAGGGAGTATTATTCATTATGTAGATTATATTTCTTCCTAGCTCACTAAACTGTTGAGTTTGACATGCTTACCACAAGGACCTGCTAATCTTAAACTTTTCATCCATTTATTATCTCTCTTTATATATAATCATATAATCCTTGGGGTCTAACTTCTCATTTCTTGTTGTCCATGTATTGGCTATTTATATGATGGATATCAGATTTTTAACATGTTTAGACAGAAGATGGGCGGGGATGATGTCAAGGTTTTTTCCTTACATTTTCTTTTTATAATGGCAATTCATAATATAAATTTTGTCTCCTTGTATAATTTCCAATTTTTTTTCTTGACCTTGATCCCCCCTCCTGTAATCATGTTTGCAGCTCTCTGTTGAATTGTCTTTCATGGAAGCTGTTCAGGGGTGCAGCAAAACTGTATCATTCCAAACTGAGTTACCTTGCGGTGCTTGTGGTATGTGACATCTTTCTTGCCATAGTCAGAGTTCAATCTGTATATGATTCTCATTCAAAATACAATGGTGCTCTTTTGGCTATCATCTTACCGTAAATTGTTAGAAGTTTGATAGTTTATGATAGTGTGGTTGTCAAGTAGGAAACCGAGTAGAACAAGTGAATCAAGTTTGATTTAGACCTTGCTTGAATAGGCATTGTATTATATCTATTTTCAATCACTATATTTAGTGCGATGTTCTGGATCCATCTTTATTTGGCTGAAGTGAAGAGGAAATAGTTGTCTGTGACGCCTCTTGTGGTCTTACATGACAGGACTGATATAATAGGATGTGGAAATGATTTGCCTCTTTTTTTTTCCAAGAGCTAACACCCCCACCCCCCAAAAAAGATAATAAATTGTGCATGATATAATCTTGGTAGCCCTGTCTCCTTCTCCAATGTCCTTGGTAAGAGAATTTTCTTTTTGTGGTTATAACTTATAACTTCTTTGATAAGTAGTTTTGCATGCCTTTAGAGAAGGCCATGCTACACTCTTTTCCTTATTTTCAACAACAATTCTGTAATTTTTCTTGACAACATAGAGGTAAAAACCATAAAACTGCTAATTATTCACAATTCAGTTTGCTTATCATTAATATGAAAACTTTTCTAAGTGGGACTTTGCTTTGGGACATTAAAAAAAATAATAATAAGAAAAAGGCATTCCCCTAGGATGTGCCCATGGGTTACTGAGCAGATTTTCTCGCCTAGGTTAGCCTTTGCAAATTAAGGTATTCCTGATGCTCTGCATGCCTTCAATTTGGTAGGAAAGGAAGTTTACTCATTCTGATGTTCATTTTTAGGTGGAAGCGGTGTTCCCCCTGGGACAAGGCCTGAAACCTGTAAGCGCTGCAAAGGATCTGGCATGGTGAGTGCCCTGTGCTTGCTTTGCAATGTCTTTACCCCCTCATTTTAAGACTAACTCAGCTCCTTTATGCTATCTCCAGGTGTTCCAGCAAACTGGTCTTTTCACAGTACAGGCTACTTGTCCACAATGTAGAGGATCTGGGAAGATTGTATCGGTATGATAATAGTAATTTCCTGCTCTCCTGCTGTATCATGTGCATGGTTTTTTCCATTTTTAATTTCCCTTGTCTTTGCCCTACTTGTAGTTCATTTCACAAATTCCCATGCTTTCACCTTACTAGTTGTAGTTATTGATTTTGTTGAATAAATTGGGAAATATTTTGGTCAAATCATAGCTTGAATACACATTGAAGATTACACAGGACTACCCATGTATACCATAGGCTAACCTAGAGTATCACACACTTAGGGAGTATCAACTTATCCAAGGGTCACATTAAACACATGCAGAATACTAGGAGACACAGGCAATAAACTCAACGATTTTATAGAGTATAATAAAAAACTCATCAAAACTGAAAGTTAAACAATGAAATGACCAGTGACTAACATCAAAAAGCTATCTTTCTTCACATGCTATTACACAGGACTACCCATGTATACCATAGGCTAACCTAGAGTATCACACACTTAGGGAGTATCAACTTATCCAAGGGTCACATTAAACACATGCAGAATACTAGGAGACACAGGCAATAAACTCAACGATTTTATAGAGTATAATAAAAAACTCATCAAAACTGAAAGTTAAACAATGAAATGACCAGTGACTAACATCAAAAAGCTATCTTTCTTCACATGCTATTTTCTCATTTACTTATATCAACTGCTTGCCTTTTTGACAAAAAAAGCATAGTCCTTAAAAGGTCTTCAAATTTCTTCATTTCCACTTATTCTTTTGGAAAATCCCGACTTTCTTTCTGTCCAATTGCTCGCGATGAAAGTGATCATTCTTTGCAATTTTACAATTTGTGCTACTGGGCTTTGGTTTTACTCTTGCTACTGACTTGTACTGCTGGTTTAATGAGTATTTTTATATTATGGTTTCACAGTTTTTAATTGAAAGGAAATAATTTATTTTAATGTCGCACTCGCACTCGCACATGTTTACTGACTACTTTTAACATTGGGCTGCAGAGTTTCTGCAAGACATGTAAGGGAGGCCGTGTTGTGAGAGGGACAAAAACTGTGAAGTTAGACATTATGTCAGGTAAATTTGAACTATTGAGAATGGATATTAATTGTACTCCATGATCTTGCTCACACAATTTGATGGGAGTTTATTCTCCTGAGATGCTTTACAGAAATTAATGGCTGCCTACTGAATTACTTCAACTGTAACTGTCAATGTGGTTTAAAAGGGATTATTTTTTAAATTCTGTTTCTGAGGTTTATATGGGAATGGAAGTGTATAGGTTTAAATCAACCTAAACATTCATATGCATTGATGGACAGTGGTCATCAATTGATGTAATTTAGACAGACTTTTGAGGCTGACGCCTATATGTGTATACGTTTTAACTGAGTCTGTGATGTATATTCCTTTACCTCTTCTGTGGAAACATTTTTGTGTTACTGATGGCTTTTGTTACTATCTAATTACTCATCTGCAGGAGTGGACAATGATGAGATTCTTAAAGTATATAGAAGTGGTGGAGCAGATCCTGATGGCAGTCAACCTGGTGACCTTTATGTTACTATAAAGGTGTTATTAATCATTAGAATTTATTTTGAAAATTTTATCCTTTGCAGTTTGATGGATGTCATATGATTCTCAATAAGAATTTATTTCTGATTGTTTCAGGTTAGGGAAGATCCTGTGTTTCGAAGAGAAAGGTCTGACATCCATGTAGATGCCGTTCTGACAATCACCCAGGTAATTTCTTTCTCTCTCTCTCTCTTCCCCCTTTTTAGAGACAATAAAGCAAGTGCATGATTCTAGTACCCCTTGCATCATGAAAGAATTTGTCAAGAGTATAGAAGCATTAGTATCAATAAAGGATCTCAAAGTTTTAAATTTCTCAAAGAAATCCTGAAGGTTCTTCTCTAGCTTCATATGCCTTGTTCTATCAACATAGTCTGCCTACTATTAAATGTATGGCTTAAACTCTACATGCAAGTGTTAAGGGATTCCTACAGAATGTTTTCCTCGTAAGAATCTTCTAGAAGTTACATTTATCTATAATCATTTTTGCTTGATTAACACAATGTTTTTTTTTTTCAGGCCATTTTAGGAGGAACAGTCCAAGTTCCTACTCTGACAGGAGATGTTGTTGTCAAGGTTCGTCTGAAGCATTTACACAACATTTTATTGTGTATTTATTCAATTATCTCATTTCTTTTCAACACCACCCTCATTGTAGATATAAATTTTAAAATATAGATACTGACTCGCAAGGTATAAAAAACATAAGAACTTTTTCTAGTCCCATCATTTATAAGTCATAGAGATCTTGCTAACAATTGTCTGCCAACATTATGGCATATGACAAGATGGATTCATGCCTTATTTTTCTTTTCCTTAATCCCCCCAACCGATTTATAATTTGGAGCATTACACTTGGATTTTTGCAGGTCCGCCCTGGCACCCAACCTGGCCAAAAAGTTGTACTGAAAAAGAAAGGTATCTGCAGATCATTTTCTAATTTCTATGCTGCACATATTATGTCTGTTATGTATTAGAGCCTGGGCGTTTGCCGCGTGCATCCTTGTCCCTCACTCCCTTGTCATCATTGGATATTTTGTATTTCAAGCGTATGATTAGTGATTACACATTATAGCATCAGTGACGTCTTGAAATCATCTTCACTCCTAGTAGAAGCATTCATTTTATTATAAGCTAATAATGTCTTTTGTAACATGCATGCATGACTCTTCTTTTGAGGTTAAACATTTTTATTGGAGAGTTCTTGTGCAAGTATGAATGTATGTTGACCATACAGAATCTTTAATGGTGGTGGGGAATAGAACTCCCCATTTCCATTTTAGTTTGTGCTGTCAATCGACTTTGGTGTTTCTGCTCAGCAAAATTTGCAGTAGTTTCTGACCTAGCAATGTTTGAATGTGAACTGAATATTGTGATTTTGAAACTAATGCTGTCTTTTACAATGCATATACAGGGATAAAAGCAAGGAATTCCTATTCATTTGGGGACCAGTTTGTTCACTTTAAAGTCAGCATTCCAATGTATGTGCTCCTTTTTGTTTGGAGAGTCAAATTCAAGCATACCCTTGCTTTTGCTTCCCATCTGATTCAGTATATAGACAACTAAACAAGAATAGGATTATAAAGTCACTTGGTTGTAGCTAAAAGAATACTGACCCATCAACAACTTAGCTAAAGGAAAACCTTGATTCTCGACAGTTAGGTTTATGCGCTTCATGCATTTTGGGTGCAGGAATTTGACACAAAGGCAGCGACAGTTGATCGAGGAGTTTGCCAGAGAAGAGCAAGGAGAAGACGATAAGGATGCTGCCGCGGGAGCTTCTAGTTAGTCAAGGAGAGCACTGCGACAATGGCTAGTCAGGGGTGGATGAGAATGTATTGTGTTAGAGATTCTTTCCATGTTGGCCAGAGCAATTTTGGATCAATTTTCACAAAATTTCTCCTTTCTCCAGGTACTATTGTAACTGTAATTGTAGTGAAAGTAGCCTAAAGCTTTATAAGTTATAACCATAGCATAGCTAGAATTGCTTTGCTTTTGAGGTATTGTGGCGTTTGATCATCTATGTCGTGTTGTATATATATGGATATAACACAAATGTTATTCTTTAAAGAGAGAAATTAAACATTAAATTTTTATTGAATTATGAATTTGTATTAAAGGCATTATAATATTCTTTTGAGAAAATGGTCAAATAGATGTTTGAACTTTACTCGTTCATCACGAATCACAAAGTCAAAACCCATCCTACCTCTTTCTACATTAAGTTTCAACTAATTGAAATGAGGTTTTGACCATTTATGAAGAACAGTCTAGCATGATTATGATGTTGGGCTAAAAACCATACAAGCTAGCAAAAACCAACAACCCAAGGCACGGCCAAAAATTGGCTTAGCATCATTGAACTGGGCTATATCTAAGTCCACCACAATGACAAAAATTGGCCATATTGGGGCTGATATCCACACGAATATGATAGAAATTGACTAAAAACCAATTCCGTTAATATTACCTGCTAAATGCATTGCATTTGTTTTATTTCTCTATAAAACAAGTGTAATCATGTAAGAACTGTGAAAACAAATAAACTAATAACAAAAGGAGGGTAAGAAAAGAATAAGGCACAAGAAAGAAAGGCATCCCTGGGCAATATTACTTACAGGAACATAAAGTTGAGGCTATACTTTTCTTTCAGTCCCAGGTATGCCCCCAAAACAAAGTTATCATTACCTCTTGGATTCTCACATATACTTTCTCTTCACATTTCATTGCTGTCTCAACAAGAATGGAATGTACTAAAGAACAAAAGTTGCAGCAGATTCTATATTGAGTATAGTTGGGGATTTTTCGTTAAGAAACTTATTGGTCACGATATGAAGTACCAACTTATTATAAATTGATCGATCTCATTTTATTTTACGAACTTGTCAGAAAGGAAAAGGCATGCAAAAAGAAAACCAATCACATGTAATCATTTCTTGCATCCAAAGTTCTGAATGTCAGCAAAAGCACAATGAGGTACAAGAAAAAGTTGGGAATCAGTTTCGGGCTCGAGAGCCGCTGGCAGTTGCAGGGTGCAGGATTTGCGGGAAATCTCGGGATTGGGGTGCAGTTATTTTTAGAAACAGTAAGTTATAAATAATACCATTTATACCCCCGAACCGGTGACAGATCAACCAGCTTTCCCAGCCATTCTCTTGTAAAACTGTTTTCCCATGACAGCTTCTTCAGCAAAGCATTCCTTTCTTGCACTGTCATCAACAAGAACAATAAAAAGATTGAAAAGGCACAGAAAGAGAGATCTGATTGCTACCTTTCTTTAGACCCAGGCTTCTCCTCCTGATAAGAATCTGGTTTGCTTGTGAGTAGAGTCTGCAATTTCTTAATGCAGAAAAGAAGCATGAAGCTGGTAGTAGAAGTCATCGATGCTCATGATCTTATGCCCCGAGATGGCGAGGGATCAGCCAGTGCATTCGTAGAAGTTGATTTCGAGAACCAGATCAGCAAAACCAAAACAATCCCAAAGAACCTCAATCCATCCTGGAACCAGAAACTTGTTTTCAGCTTTGATGAAACTCACAAAACTTACCATTACAAGTCCATTGAAGTTTCTGTTTACCACGAGAGGAGGCCGGTTCCAGGAAGAGTCTTTCTTGGAAGGGTGAGAGTTCCTTGCTCAAATATAGTCAGGAAAAAGGAGGAAGTTTACCAGAGATTTCACCTCGAAAAGAAGTCGTTTTTTGGGTTTGTCAAAGGCGAAATCGGGCTCAAAGTCTACACTGAGCCTGAATCTCATCTCCCACCAAAACCTTCTGATATTCCTCCTGCAGACACCATTGCAGTCCCTCGAGTTTCTAGTACTGATAAACCAGAAACTGAAAAACCAAAAATTGCCATTGTTGAAGCACAGTTTGATCCTTCAAACTCTGCTGAGAAAGCTGCAGAAAAGGTTCAAAATATTCACAAAAACCAGGTTCTTCAGCAGCCAGTGTTTTCAGTGGGGAAAAGACCAGAAGCCATCCAGTTAAAAATGAGGCATCAGGCTAATCCGAACCTCAACGAGGACGAGTTTGAGCTGAAGGACACGAATCCCCAGCTCGGGGAGCAGTGGCCACACGGGGGAAGAGGGTGGACGAACAACGAGAGATATGCAAGCGCATATGACCTCGTGGAGCAGATGTTCTACCTCTACGTTCGGGTCGTCAAGGCCAAAGATCTCCCACCGGGTGGCATTACTGCCAGCATTGATCCTTATGTGGAAGTGAAGCTCGGGAACTACAGAGGAAGAACCAGGCATTTCGACAAGAAAACGAATCCAGAATGGAACCAAGTATTCGCCTTCTCCAAAGACCACATCCAATCCTCAATTCTTGAAGTTTTTGTCAAGGACAAGGAGACATTAGGCCGAGATGATCATCTAGGGAGAGCAGTGTTCGACTTGAACGAGGTCCCAACGAGAGTCCCCCCGGATAGCCCCCTCGCCCCTCAATGGTACAGGCTCGAGGATCGTCGTGGGGAAGGGAAAGTGAGGGGAAACATCATGCTGGCGGTCTGGATGGGGACACAAGCCGACGAAGCCTTCTCAGAAGCCTGGCATTCAGATGCTGCAATGGTCCATGGGGAAGGAGTCATGACTGTGAGGTCCAAAGTTTACGTTTCCCCGAAGCTTTGGTACTTAAGGGTGAACGTAATCGAAGCTCAAGACATCATCCCAAACGATAGAACCCGTTTGCCTGAAGTTCATATCAAAGTCCAGGTGGGGAATCAGGTGCTCAAAACCGGGATATCCCCCACTCGAACAGCAAATCCGGTTTGGAACGAGGAGCTAGTGTTTGTAGCAGCAGAGCCCTTCGAGGAGCAGCTAATCCTCACGGTGGAGGACCACGTTCATCCCACGAAAGACGAGGTTCTGGGAAGAATAGCCTTACCACTCTCCACGTTCGAGAAGAGGCTAGACCATAGACCTGTCCACTCCCACTGGTTCAACCTGGAGAAATTCGGGTTTGGCACATTGGAACCAGACAGAAGAAAAGAGCAGAGATTCTCGAGCAGGCTGCACCTCAGAGCCTGCCTCGAAGGCGGGTACCATGTCCTAGACGAATCGACAATGTACATAAGTGATCAAAGACCAACCGCGAGACAACTCTGGAAGCCACCCGTGGGAGTATTAGAAGTTGGGGTCCTAGGGGCAAAAGGGCTCCTCCCCATGAAAATGAAGGACGGGCGGGGCAGCACAGACGCCTATTGTGTAGCCCGGTATGGGCAGAAATGGGTTCGAACCAGGACGATTCTCGACACGTTTAGCCCCAAATGGAACGAGCAATACAACTGGGAAGTCTATGACCCCTCCACAGTCATAACACTAGGCGTTTTCGACAACTGCCATTTGGGAAACGAAAAGCCCGGAACAACAAGAGATTCCAGGATTGGGAAGGTGAGAATAAGGCTATCCACCCTGGAATCCAATAAACTCTACACCCATTCCTACCCCCTCCTTGTTCTCCATCCTTCTGGGGTTAAAAAAATGGGGGAACTCCAATTGGCAGTGAGATTCACAAGCCTCTCTTTAGCCAACATGGTTTACACATATGCCCACCCTTTACTCCCCAAAATGCACTACCTAAACCCCTTCACAGTAACCCAGCTCGAGAACCTGAGATACCAAGCCATGAACATCGTGGCAGCTCGATTAGCCCGAGCTGAGCCACCCCTCAGAAAAGAAGTAGTGGAATACATGTTAGACGTGGACTCCCACTTGTGGAGTATGAGACGAAGCAAGGCTAATTTCTTCAGGATCATGTCCCTCCTCTCGGGCACGATGGCCTTAACCAAATGGTTTCGAGACGTTTGCCAATGGAGAAACACTCTCACCTCGGTTCTCGTTCACATCCTCTTCTTGATCCTGATTTGCTACCCGGACTTGATTCTCCCCACTCTTTTCCTCTACATGTTCTTGATAGGCCTATGGAACTATAGGCTTCGCCCGAGGCACCCTCCCCACATGGACACGAAGCTCTCGTGGGCTGAGGCAGTGCACCCCGACGAGCTCGATGAAGAGTTTGACACATTCCCCACATCCAAGAACCAAGATATTGTCAAGATGAGGTATGATAGACTGAGAAGCGTGGCGGGGAGGATTCAAATAGTGGCGGGAGATATAGCAACACAAGGGGAGAGATTGCAGTCAGTTCTAAGCTGGAGAGATCCAAGAGCCACCGGCCTGTTCATAATCTTCTGTCTTTTTGCAGCAGTTATGCTCTACGCCACGCCTTTCAGAGTCGTTGCCTTGGTTGCTGGGCTTTATATGCTCAGACATCCTAGATTTAGGACCAAGATGCCGGGTGTTCCTAGCAATTTCTTCAAGAGATTGACAGCCAGAACCGACAGTCTGCTGTAATATATACTGACAAATCAAGAATCAAGAATCATGGTTTATGCATCCCGGCCACAACAGCTACTGATAGAATCTACACGCCTGTCTTTTTCGTTTTCTTTTAATAGTAACATGATTTCACCCATTTCCAGTTGAATTAAGCATCTGAATAATAAACCTGTCACTACCCATTTTCCTTATACCTCCTCCTCATAGAATAGCAGGCAGCAAATATAGAGAAGCAAATTAAAGCAGCACCATGTTGTCAACAAAAACAACCAAAAAAAAAAAAAAAAAAAAAAAAAGTCTGCAAACATGATACACTCATGTAAAACTAAGCAGAGGTTTACCTGGTCATCAGTTTAAACTAAAGACCAGACTTGAATAAGCAATTGAGCATTAAAATCACAATACAGTAGAGCACCATAGCATTGCAACCAATGAGAATGCATCCATATTACTTTTTTTTTTTTTTTTCTCCATTTAAATCTTAATCGTCAACTTCTTCCACATTTAATATTTTTATGATGTCTAATTTAGCAAGCCCAACTTGCCTGGGTAGAGGGTACAAAAGGCATAAACAACAAGACGTAAAATACTTATTTTGCAAAAGTAAACCAAAGAGCTTACTAAATCATGGCTTAAATAGCCTGCTGGCTAAAGGTGCTAGCTTTGTATGGAGAAATAAGTGGCTTTCATGGCATCAGTCAAATAGTTTATTAAGAAAATCAATTATCAAAAGGGTAAACTGAGATTCATTGCAGGGTTCCACAAAAGATAATTTTGAGACCATGAGAACACATTCTGCATACCCAATATGACCCATTATCTATTGCAGACTATTAAACCACTAAAACTTTGGATCGGAGGCTTACAGATTTATGTTTTTTCCCCTTAGGCCCTCTCTTTGCAGCTGATGAAGATGGCTGGTTCTTGTGGATTGAGATGGTAAAGAAGCTAAGGGGGCATGCATTTTCTGTTTCTTTCTAGAAGCTGAAACTCAAGGACTGGGTACTGGATCATCAACGCCTTCACCAGTGTTGATCAAGTTTCCCTGTGCTCTTCCTTTGACAATTTACTAAAGTTAGCTTGATTGAACTTTTGCTCAAAGAGTTCCATGGCATATAAAGTTCAAAGAGAATCAATTAAAGGGGTATGAAAATATATAATACAAAATTCAAACAATCCTGCACAAATCAATTGTAAAACAAACTTGTCATTCCATCCAACAACATCACAAAACCATCTTAGTTTATAAATGTAAAGAATATAATTCCCTCCAAGAACATGACATGGAGTTCAGAGCTACAACAAGGAGTCTGATTTTGCAGGCAGTCTCCTGAAGAAGCTAATAACTGCAGAAGGAAGCTTCTCCCTGAATCTCGGGTGCCTCATCGCATAAAAACCCCAAGCCAAGAACAAAACCTTGAAAGGGACAATGTAGAACAGTATAGAAGCAAACAGACAAACAATGAGGAAAAGAGCTGTGGCTCTCGGATCACGCCAGCTTAGCAGGCTGCCAACCCTCTCTCCTTGAGTGGCCATGTCGCCAGCAAGCGTCTGCAGCCTCGAGGCAATGCTCCTCAGCCTGTCATACCTCATTTTAACAGCATCCCCGGGCTTAGACGTCGGGAAAGTATCAAATTCCTCATCGAGTTCATCAGGGTGCACCCTGTCAGCCTGGGACAACGAAATGTTCATGTGGGGAGGGTGCTTAGGCCGAGCCCTGTACTTGTAAACCCCGAACATGAAGAGATACATGAACACCGAGCTCAAGATGAACTCCGGGAAACACACAGAAATCAAGAACAAGAAATGAACCAAAACTGTAATGACAGGGTTTCTCCAGCTGCAAACACGGTTGAAACATATGCAGACCGAAGCTATGGTGGACAGAATCGAGCCAATCCGGAGATAATTCGCCTTGCTTCTCCTCACACTCCATAGGTTCGACCCCACATCGAGCATATACTCCACAACCTCTTTTCTCAGTGGCGGCTCAGCCCTGCTCAGCCTCATAGAAACAATGTGAGTAGCCTGATGCCTTAAATTCTCCACCTGGTAACTAGTCAAGGGATGAAGGTAATGCAGAATTGGTAAAAGAGGTTTGGAGTAAACCGAAAGCATGTTGTATAACGAAGCACACGAAAATCTCACAGCAAGCTGGATTTCCCCCATTTTCTTTACCCCAGAAGGGGATAGAACTATGAGGGGATAAGAATGGGTGTAAACTCTATCAGTCTCAAGGGTCGACAACCTGATTCTAACTTTCCCAATTTTCTGATCCATTGATCCTCCTCCACCCTTGCCTGGACCCTGAAGGTGTTGGTTATCGAAAACCCCGATTGTGATAACAGTGCAAGGATCAAAGACTTCCCAGGTATACTGCTCGTTCCATTTCGGGTTAAAACTGGTTAGGATTGTCCTCGTTCGGATCCATTTCTGCCCATATTTCGCCACGCAGTAGGCGTCTGTGGTTCCATGGCCATCCCTGTTCTTCATGGAGGTCAAATCCTGGGCACTCAAGATCCCTAATTCAAGAACTCCAATGGGAGGCTTGGAGAGCTGTCTGGCAGTGGCCTTGAAATCACTGCTGTACTGTGTCAGCTCATCAAGAACATGGTACCCGCCATCAAAAGACAACCTTAAATGAACCCTCCCGGGTAAACCGACCACATTGATCTCCCCATTCTCCCCCACTTCATTCTTCTCCAAACCATACCACCTGCTAACTGGAACCTTAAAATCCACCATTTTCTCCACAGTCTGTAAAGACACCACACATTTCCCCAGAACTTCATCCTTGTTTGCTGCCACTTTATCTTCCACTGTCAAAATCAAATCTTCCTCGAAGGGCTCGGCCACCACGAACATCAAATCCTCATTCCAGGATGGGGATGTGTTCTTGGTGAGAGAAATTTTAGTCCTTAAGGCCACACCCCCCAACCAAGCTCTCACGAAAACGTCGGGATGGTGCCTGTTCTTGTCTCCTGGCTGTAATTCCTGTGCCTCAATCACATTAACTCGAAGGTACCATAGCCTGGGAGATAAGTAAACTTTGGACTTTATATTAGCAACATTTTCAGCACTCACTATAGTGGCATCCATGTGCCATGCTTCTGGAAACGCCTCATCTGCTTGAGTTCCTATCCAAACAGCCAACATTAACTCCCCTTTCACCTATTAGAACGAAAAGAATGTATATTGATTCACAATAGCACAGTACAATACAATGTTTATAAGTAAAGAACCAAAACTATTAAAATATAACAAACTAGACTAAATCAAATATAATAAAATACTTATAGCACCTTTTCCCCTGTCTTGCTCTCGAGCCTGTACCATTGCGGCGCCAGGGGGCTGTCTGGTGGGACCCTGGTCGGAACCTCGGAGACATCAAACGCCGCCGCCATTCCTATAACATCATCTCCCTCGCTGATTTCTTTATCTCTCACGGAAATCTCGACCACTGTGGTCTGAATCTGGTCTTTAAGAACAGTGAAAACCTGGTTCCACTCAGGATTGGGATTGTTCTTATAATGGCGAGTGAGCTCCCTGAAGTTCCCAATCCTCACTTCCACAAAAGGGTGAGGGGAATGATCGTTTGCCGGCAACTCCTTCGCCTTCACCACTCTCACGTACAGAAACTGCATTTGCTCCACCAGGTCAAACGCCGTCGCCTGCCTCTCATTCCCGCCGCCGCCGAGCAGCGGCGCCGTCTCCCGGAGCCTGAACTCTTCTCCGTCTTGAACAACGGCGTTCGGTGCCGGCGGGGCGCCGCCGGCGTTTCTGTTCTGCTTCTGATTCTGCTTTCTGTTCTGCGTTTGGTTCGCCATTGTTGATTATGATAGCAAGAAGAGAAGAGAGGACGCAGCAGTCTATATAGGAAACGATGGATTTTTTTTCGAAAAAATTTGAACGATGGAATGGGAAATGATTGAAGAAAACTGAGCAGTTACACAATAAATGGAGGGTGAAAATAATTAAAATCATTTTAAACTCCTTGCTGACCGTTTCAGAAGATGAAAAGCCCACCGAATTTTGAAAACTAACCCATACTAGACACGAGAGGAAATTCCGTTGAACACATGAATCAAATCTCTCTGTTTTTACGTTCAAATAAGAAAAAAAAAAAAAAACAACGTGAAAACAACTAAAATAAGTAGAAAGACTCCATCTTTACTATAATAATACATTACGTGTTTACATGCATGAAATGTGTGTACATAGATGTCTGTTTGTACGAGGATATGATAGGTTCTGAGGTTGTCTCTTCATCAAACATGCCAAGCTTAATTCGAAATTTGTTGGACGAAAGCAATTATTGTTTTTTTTTTTACCAAGTTTCGAACACTCTTTAAAGACGGCTTGATACCCAAAGTTAATATGGGATCTCTTGATATTTGGTTAATGATGAATTAGTCCCCTAAACTCAATCGCACCATAGGTTGATTGTTGCCTTTATATTATTTGTCTTAGCTTGTTGATGCCACTAGGGTCAATATTTAGTGATGTCACTTGTTCTACAATGTATACTCCCAAATTCTGCTAGTTCATTTTTACTTTTTGATGTGGCAAATAAATATATGATACTTTCATTATATGAATCTCCATAAAAATGTCCACATCACAATTTTGAAAATAAGAGTATGTACAATATTTTCCTAATATAATAAGTTAATTATAGGTTTATGTAATGGCTTTCAATAAAAAAAAAAAAAAAAAGAGGAATCATGCAATGAAAATGTCATTTGTCACAAGTTTGAATTGCATTAGAAATCTAGTACTCTCCATACTTAATTGCCCATAGTGTGTAATACTTTGTTGAAAAAATATTTAAATTAGTCACTCAATTATACGTTTATACATAAAAGTACAATTGATCCCTCAAATGCAATCAAACCAATTTGATCAGTACTCCAAGGGTGTGGCATTTAACATTTTATTATTATTAGTTTCCTAACATGGTTCAGGTGGCCAAAATTTGAAAATAAAAAAAATAAAATTAATGTCACTCCGTCTCTAGCATCGGAGATGAAAGTTTCTCTTCGTCTCACATGGCAATGAGTTTTTCTGCATCTCTAATTCCATACAAAGAGAACTCTCGTCTTGTGACGGATACAAAGAATATCTCAAAAGTTTAAAATAAACAAAAAAAAAAAAAATACACATGTCCATAGTAATCATTAATTAATTGGCACAAGTGCGCAACTAGTCAATTCAATTTGATTGCATACAACATTCCCAATAGGAGAATTTTGGATGATTTTTGCAGGATAAATTGCTTATGTGGAGGACTGGAGGAGAGATAGAGAAGAAAGATAAGATGTTGGGTAACTATAAGAGAACTTGATTTTTGAAAGAACATTTGGCGCCACTAAAAAAAATCACATTTTATGGTGTGCGTGAAGCATACTAAAAGCGCCCAGTCGGACGCGTACAGTACATGCGCCTAGACACGTTAAACTATATATATATATATATATATATATATATTTGTTTTTTACTCCTTACCTCTAATCTTATATTTTCTAGTCACATTAAAACTCATTAACATTTATTGAGGATGCTCTTTGAGGGACCAATTGCATTTTTTAAAAAAATAAATAAATTTAGATGACCCAATTGATTTGAATACTTTATGTCTCATGGTCATAAATGTAATTTCACTACAAAATCCTGGTTCGGATAAAGTGATAACTGATAAACCCCCGTCTTCCTTCTGGCCTTCAATCCACCCATAAACTCTGCATTTCTCATCGGAGCTCCACCAAAAAAATGGCGACAATCTCTACCTCTTTGATATCCCCTAATTTCCTTAAGAACCCAAAAATGGCCGTCAAGCCCCACTTCTCAAAGCTCCTTTCTCCCACCCTGAAGTCAGAGGCGCGCCCTCTCGCGCTCAGTTTGTTGCCGCCGGTTTCGCAACCCAGGGAGTATTTGTTACGCGGAAGGAGGCTCAATGCTGTCGCCGAAGAGGCGTCGGTCTCCACGCAGGACCCGTCTTCGCCGTCCGCCAGGCGGCTCTACGTCGGGAATATTCCCCGGACCGTCACAAACGATGAACTCCGGAAAATTGTGGAAGAACACGGCGCCGTAGAGAAGGCAGAGGTATACTCTGCCAATTTGTTTAGTTTAGGGTTACCGCCATGATTTCCTTTAGCTGAAATGTCAAATGTACCCCGTAGCCATCTCAGCTAACATTAAACATGCAATTTGTGAATTTCCAGCTTCACTTGATATAATTGTGTAGGGTTCTAAGATTTTTACTGCTCCGTACAAATTAGGGCGAATGTTTCACTTAACTGTATGGCGAATTTGATAATTTCCGTACAAATTAGGCTGAATTGTTAAAAGCTTATTTTGTACTGAGTATTTGTTTAATGATTGATATTATAGGGTGCCAAATGACTTTAAAGATGTTATGATATTGAAAGAAGTTTCTTAGTTTTCTATGTTTGTAGAGTTATAGCTAATAAAATTTTGGACTTTGATAAATTCCAATTGCTGTTAGGGTGACAATTTTCCTTTACTTTATTGGTAGGTTATGTATGATAAATATTCGGGAAGGAGCCGCCGATTTGGATTTGTTACGATGAAGACAGCTGAGGATGCAAATGCAGCTATTGAAAAGCTTAATGGAACTGTAAGGGCTTTATATGCTTATTCAAGATTGAGAGGTTTTTGACTCCCTAAAATGCCAGTTTTATCTTTTAATGCTGTTTTCTACAACAGGAAGTTGGGGGCCGTGCAATAAAAGTGAATATAACTGAAAAGCCATTGCAAGGTGGGGACTTGTCGTTTCTACAGGGGGAGGATTCACAGTTCATTGACAGTCCTCACAAGGTTTATGTTGGCAATCTTGCAAAGACAGTAACCACTGAGTCACTGAAAAGCTTTTTTGCTGAGAAGGGGACGGTTGTCAGTGCAAAGGTATCCCGAATTCCGGGGACCTCAAAATCCAGTGGGTTTGGGTTTGTCTCATTTTCTTCGGAAGAGGATGTAGAAGCTGCTATATCATCTTTTAATAATTCGGTAAGTGTGTCAACAGACATTAATAATGTTTGTCAGCAGTGTCATGGATGAATGGATTTGACTTTATGCCATCACCTTGTGCATTTTGTCTAAGAAATATAACAGATTTCTGCTATCACTTGGAACTTCTCCAATTAGGTTTCTTCAAAATCTACTGACTCAATTAACACTTTCTTTTTTCTGAATTAATCTCGGGAATATTGTTTGAAAAGAAAGAAGGTAATGAAAATGGCGTGAAGGAAACTTGTCTTTGAGAATTCTCTATGCATTTGATTAGACGGGATGGTAAAAGGAGAATAAATTGATCTTGATTTTTGCACATCTACTTTGTGGCTAGCAGGAAGTGTAGTATTCACACCTATATATTTTCCATTATCCTGTGCTTTCAAAGTGAGGAAGCATAAGTATTCATTCCCTCTTCTGGTGTTGCATGACTTACTTTTGATTAATGCTTCTGTGACCTGCGTTTGTTAAATGCACTTATATGTTAAGAATAAGTTTTCCTTCGGTTTTGTGGTTCCTGTTTTGTTGAAATATCATGCATATTTTGTTTTTTCCTATGATATCCATGAAGCCTTAGCATTTGTATCTTATACCCATCTCTGATTTTTTTTCTTGCGTTCTACTAATTTCCGTCTTTCCCCCCCTAAAAAATGCAGCTGCTTGAAGGGCAGAAGATTCGTGTAAATAAAGCATGAATAAGTGGCAACGAAAACGCCTTGCCTTGTGCATTACGCTTAACACTGAAGACTTGTGAGTTGATTTCTCGAGGGCAATGACAGTGGGGGAGAAGCTTGTTGTGCTACGAGCTCCAATTTGGCCGGCCAATCTGCGATTTGCGTTCTTACAATTTTAGTTTAGTGAAAGCCCATTTTGTTTGTTATCATGTTGTAAAGAAACATCTGATCTTTAGACTAAATCCCTGTAGGGCTCTTGGCTGTATGTTTGCAGTTTTTTTGGGACACTGTCATAAACTCACACAGCCTTTCTAAGGCTCTCTACTTGCTTGGTAATATACACTTGTTCATCATTGCTTGCTTTAGATATATATTGTCTTCGCAGTATATGTTCACTATCCACCATTCTCTTTTATATATGTTATTATTACAATCTCTTGATTTGTTGAAATAAACCGAGATAATGTTGAATGTACATAGTTTTTTTTTTTTTTTTTTTTTTTTTTGTGTACTATTAATTCTGTTACAATGTAGTGTCTGTGTATAATTTTTTTTAATATAATTATACATATACATTTTATGTTCAAATAAACTCAAAGTTTCATTGACTTTGAAGTTTTGAAATTTAGTTTGACTTAATTGCTCTATTTTTATTAACTTGAGTTTGACTCATTCAAGTTTTATTTAAGTTTTGCTTGGATGAGTTCATTTTAACACATGATAGAAAAGATTAATGTTGACAAATTGTAAAAGGGTAATTCAAAAAGGAATTATTTTAACAAATTTTAAAATAATTAGAAGAGTCAATTATATTTTACAAAATTAAATTATATCTTATTTTAGGAAATAATATTATAGTGATTTTGATTTTTGAGGATCATACAAAATATCATATAAATGAGATAATTTTAGTAAAAATAATTGGTGTTGTTAAATACTCCGTGTATATTTATATTTAATTATTAACCAATAAAAAAATTGTCATTTTAGGGTTTTGTAAACGTCTACATTAATTTTAGAAAGGAAAAACAATACTCCGTATTATTTTGTGAGTATAATTCTTAACCGCACTTGGAGAAACATAGTTAACACGATCGGAGAGACGTGAAGCCGTGTAGGAAACATTACCGTTGCACGAAACCGCACGTGGGAACATGAAAACACAGCAGTGGCACCAACGTAAATTTCTCCGAAAAGCATGGGCTTTTTATTAGTGTTCATTCGAACGCAAAAACTCCCATTCTTATTTTTCTAAAATTCGCGCCTCTTTACTTTTCCCGCCACGGCTAATTCTGGAAATCAGAACCCCCCACTTCAAAAACCCTACACCAATCCAGCCCGCTCACATTCTGTCTCATAAAGATTCAAGCTTTTTTCCTCCACAGCGTCTGCAAGTGAAAATCTTCGGGAAGATTGAGGTGTAACAGAGGAAGGAAGGAGGATTAAGGATGTTTTATTCGCACACTTTCTTGGCTCGGAAGGGTCCAATGGGGACTGTTTGGTGCGCCGCGCATCTACAGCACAGCCTCAGGAAGACGGATTACACCAGAACCAATATACTGTCTACAGTTGGTTAGTGTTCTCGTGTTTTTGGCATTTTATTTAATGTTTCTTTCCTCATATGAAGTTATTTCATTGTTTTTTGTTTCTGTGTTTTTTTGGTTGGTCTGTTGATTGGCTACTACCCTCATCTATTTCAGTTTCTCTTGCAAATTTTAGTCTTTTGGGTATAGTTAAGGTTCTTTCCACCAAATGTTACAAATTTTCATATGAAACATCATGTATTGCATTGTTTTTCTACCTAGTTTATGTTTGCATCATCTTCATTGTTGTGTTCATTGCTGTTTTGGTTTTGTCTTGGGTCTTAATTCTGGATTTATCATGTAAAGTTTAGATTTTTCCTCATTTTTCTAGCTGCAACCTTAATTAATATGGGAGAGGAGGCTCTAATGATAGGGAAAAATTCACAATCTTGCAATTGTGTAATTGAGGAACATTACTTGTTCTCCAGTGTTGAAGATTGTGCATTTTAGCAAAAAGCTAATCTTTTGGTTGAGAAAATGCAATATGAGTTCTGATTGCTATTATAACAGCATCAAGTAATGCTGATATGTCTTTTTTTCTTGGCTATGATTATGTTGCCTTTTTAAAAATTTTATGAACATTTATTTAAAGCATTGGCAGTTGGTAGTCTAATATGGTTCAGAGAATTTTCATTATGATATTGTTATTATTAGAGAAAGTTTGAACCAGATTCATGTCCATATTTGGGGTGGATATATAGCAAGAATCCATTAATGAAGCTTAGTAATCCTAATACCTTTCTTGTATCCCATGATTAGTAATGACACTATAGAGTTGACATTAATAATTTGTTGAATTGATTTTCCAGAGTGCATCATGTATCCCGAAGTACCAATTGCACTGCGGATGTCTGGCCATCTTTTGCTTGGCGTTGTTCGAATATATTCAAAACAAGTCGAATACTTTTTTCAAGAATGTAATTACCTGGAGTTGCGGTTGAGAAAGGCGTTCTTGTCAACGAGTGTCAATCTACCTGAAGGTGCAACTCAAGCGACTTATAATTCCATCACTTTGCCAGAAACGTTTCAACTCGATGCATTACAATCAGATTATGATTTACGTGCAGAGAGGTAAGGTTTCGGTTCTGCTGCAGAGCTCTAAGATCTGTCAGTCAGTGCTGTTTGCTCATTGGTTTTGAATTTCAGGTTTGTGGATACTCACCTTAAACCACTTGAAGAGATCACACTCGAAGGTGATCACTTTGGGTCTCGAGCAAATCCAGTGTTTTTGTATTTTCCTTTTCCAACTATTATTCTTTTTTCCTTATGTTTTCTTGCCTTATGTTACAGAGCAAGTTCCCATGGGAGGGGATCAATATGTTGCGATTTATATTGATGAGGTGAGACAACCTTAATTTCTCCTTGTTTTGGTTAGTTTTGCATGTTTCTGCTTTTTCAGATTATCTTATAATTTGGTTTTTATGCAGGATGAGGGGAGGGGTTTATCAACTGAGAATATTGTCTCTGGATTGGAAGCAACACCTATGGAGATAGAGTAAGAAACCAGGAATATTATATAGCTTTCAGAACAGATTGTTTGCTATGTATGCTTACAGTGGTAAATATTTATTCCTATTGTAGCCCTCAGCCTCCAGTTGGGGAGGGGACACCTGGTGGTCCTCAACATTCTCCCCAGAGTACCCCGGCTCAAGAGTTTCCAGAAACTGAGGTTATGCGTGATGCTTCGCATGATGTTGGTGTTCCTAGTACTCCGATGTGGCAAGACAGGAGGGATGATGTGTTGGAACCTGACCTTGTTTTGGCGGAGCAGGTGACGAAAGATGATCAAAATCGTTCTCCCGTAGGGGTAGTCGAGGAAATGTTGCCTTCGGGAGGGCGTTCTTCCCCACCTCAACATCGCGAGCACCCTTCAGCTTCTGCAGAAGTTGGCCAAGGAAACACGAGTTCACCCCTGTCATTTGGTAAGTGCAGATTTCATGTTTAACCCATGACCTTTGGTCTGGGTCTGATACCAAATTGAAGTATGTGCTCCGTCTCAACTAAAAGCCTAAGCTAATAGTTGAATTGCACATTTATGGTTATATGCTCAACAATAACAGTTGCTATATATACATTTATATAGGGAACGGGTCACCTGAACTAGCAATGCGCCCATCCCCGCCCCCACCACCGCCCCCTCCTGAGCAGCGACCGGCAAGGCAAAGAAAGAGGAAGGTGGTTATCGATGAAGCCTTAGTGTTGTCAAATCAGTATGATCATCATCTCTTCATTTCATGTTCCTATATGCATTCTGCTATTTTTGTTTCCTAAGAAACATATACACATTTCATATTTCAGGGTTCTTAAGGCTGGACTAAACGACACAAGTCGCTTGAAACGGGCAAGAAAGGAAGTTCCCCACTCTTCTTTGGGCATATGGAGATCAAGCAAGAGACTAAAAAAGGATGCCATGTTCTTCTTCGAGCCCTTAATAACTGGGCAGTGTGGAGAACTGTCTAATATGCATGAAAAAGATTTCGTTTTTGCAAGAGCCCACCCGTCTTCCACAGATGAGGCTCGTGAAGAGGCCACTGGTGCACAATCTTCCTCTCCTTCGGGGCGTGATGATATGGAAATCGAACATCTTCGTGAGAATGTAGGCCCTACTGAAGGCGATATTTTGCATGAAGTCTTGCCTATGCCAAGTACATTGGTTTCCTCTCCGGTCACATCCCTGCCTTCTCCAAGCAGACAAGAAGATTTTACTCCTGCTCCTACCTCATTAGGGCCACAATCAGATCAGGCTGAAAGAACTATTGATTCTGGGATATTACCTACACCAGACCCTGCTGCATCAACTGGGCATCTTCATTCAGATATGGACACCCCTTTGACAATCCCTGAGGAGGATTTGCGGTTTGAAGCCACTGCTCTATCTGATATCCCCGAGTTTGACAATTCTGCTGGGGTATGTTATGCTACCAAATATTCAGTTAATCAAAGCTTAAATGAGCATATCTCAGCTGTTTTTTTTTTTTTTTCTTCTTTCAATTACAGGATTTAAGTTTTCTGGAACAAGATGAAAGCACCCCTACTGGTAAGATGAGAAATCTGCTTCAGTGTGTGTGTGTGTGTGTGTATTCTGGTGAACTCTGTGGTGGTGATTCTTAGATGTTTACGATTTATACAGGCTCTCAGGGAACTCCAGAAGTGGGTTTATCTGGAAAACAAAGAACTCCAGAATTTGATGCATTATCTACCAGAACAAGGTAATTTTAACTGAATGCTGCTGAATAAATGGAAATAAGGTTGCGTGTTAATGTTGTCTAATTGCATGATTGTTTTTAGAGCTGTCGCACAATATCTTAAAGGTCAGTCATCAACAACTCCCATCTCCGAAGGTCAATCACCAGCAAGTACCATGCCGGGACCTGGAGATCTGAGCTTAAATGCAGTTCTGGAAGGCAAAACCAGGAAAATATGTGCTAGAATGTTTTTCGAGACTCTTGTAAGTGTTCAATCACCAGTCTTTTACACTTCCTGTTTTATAATGTGCTAGTCATTCACTCACTCACTCACTTCTCTCGATTTGGGGACAATGCAATTCAGGTTTTGAAGAACTGCGGGCTGATAGATGTAAAGCAAGAAGAACCCTATGGCGATGTTACTTTGAAGGCAACTTCTAAGCTATGGAAGGAACAACTATGAAGCTAAATAAAATATAATCGACATGTGAAATTAGAGGTAGAAATGTAGAATACAGAAAGCATAGTGCTTTTGATGCATGTAGCCATGTAGGAGCTAGAAAAGCCAAAACCCTGTAATTTATACTGGTAAAGATTAACAACAATTTTTCCATTCTTGAAAAGATCAAATATGATAAGCTGTTCAAAGTTGGTTCCTAGGCAAAATGTATATATGCCAGAAACATGATCATATTTTATTAATGGGCAATTATAATGTTTTTTTGCCTATTTTGGTACGAAGAAGTCAGTAGAGTTTACTTTCCACCGAGAAGATTATCAATCTTGTGCTCAAGGTGGGCTTCATGGTCTTCAAGTCGACCTTTGACTGCACCGTCTTCCCAGCGGATTAAAGTAGGAACTCCTTTCAGATTGAAGTTGGGATCCACCCTCCATGGATGCTGTGGATTCCTCCATGTTGGCCTGTCTCCAACATAAGCCTTCAGCAGCGCAACATCATCAGATGACGCTTCCAGCTTTTTGTATATCACCGGCTCAGCTCTCACGCAATCTGATAAGTTACAAAAACACAAACCTAGTAAACAAAAAGGTACACTACCATTCATGGAAACAACATTCACAAACATCATTAACACCAAGTTGCTTATGAAATTGATCAATAGGTACACTAAACTATTCATGGAAACAACATTCACACAAACATCATGATTTGGAGATTATATGTATACAAACAACAGAACAAGAATCTTGAGGTTTAGTCCTTGCAACCCTAGAGTAAACTAATCAACTCAAACCAAGAAGACCAATAGATTAATGAGCAGAAATTCTAGGTTGTAGTAACAATCAAAAGATTAATTAACGAACACACCAGCAGGAAAATAAAAATAGCAGTTTGGGTGTGCAATTACAAAATGACGATTAAAATGAAGAGAAGATTATTGAAATGAGAAAATGGGTTACCGGGGCACCAGCTAAGGGAGGTGGACGGTTCAATGTCCGCCAGGAAGAGGATTAAATTGGCCTTGTTTTTGGGGGCTTCGGCTTTGAACTTCTCAAACACTCCATTGAATGTTGCTACGGTAGCGTCCAACACTTTCAGAGGCATTTTCTGTGCTTCTCTTTCCACCCGGATATGGATTTTCGATGGAGCTTCAAGTAGAATAGCGGGATTCTGATTTTGCGTCTGTTTTAAGCTCTCGGGAAAGGTGATTCGTGGTTTTTAAGGTTAGGGTTTGATTTTTCCTAATCTCGGGATTTCTTTCGCTTAAGTCCCCATTAAGAAAACTCTTCCTCGTAACACGTGTTTGCAATATGCAATGTGGATAAGATTTTTAATATTTTTTTATAATTCAAATTTCTCAATTTTATCAAACTATTTTCTGAATTCCATGAATTTGCTTATTTGTTCTTAAAGCCCACGAAGGAAGTAAATTATTAATTTGGGTTGGGGTGTGGGACCCTTAAGATTGGGGTTCAACTTTTTGAAAAATAATTCTCTTAGTATCTATTTTATACTTTCTCAATATAATTTATCTCAAAGAATCGATGTCTCTCACCACCAGAATTTAATTTTGCGATCACTCATTTGAAATAGTAACAGAAGTGTTATCATACTACATGATAGTGACTCCCAACCTTTTAGTTATATACGGAGTATATATTTTTTTTTTTCTAAAAAAAACATTATCCAACTCAATAGCACATGCAAATTTTCCTAAAACTTATTAGGTTATCTATACTCCGGTTGATATTTGTCACAACATATACTCCGATTAAGAGTACGAATGAGTAATTTTCCTAAAACTTATTAGGTTATCTATACTCCGGTTGATATTTGTCACAACATATACTCCGATTAAGAGTACGAATGAGTTTTACACGTTTTACCTCATCGAATAAATATAAAGAGTATAATAATCTATATCAAAAAATCTTTTATTTAGGAGCGAAAACCTAATCTTTTGTTCATTTCCTATTGAGTTAATACCCAAAATCGTCCTCGACTATAGTGGTTTTTCTCAATTTTGTCCTAAACGACTTTGGTGACCTAATATCGTCCCAGACTTTTATGTTTCGCTCAATTTCGTCCCATACTTTTGTGTTTTTGCTCAATTTAGTCCCTCATTTGTTATTCTATCCATTTGATGTTAAATAAATAGACAATTAAGTAATTTTAATATTGGCATCTCTTTACTCATAGACATGTGAACTGCGAAATCCTTTTTTTTTTTTTTTTTTTTTTACTAATTAGTCCCAGAATTACTCCTAAAACTGCGAATATAAAATTTGATTTGCAGGTCCGGGAGTAATTCTGGGTGTAATTCGTACAAGAAAGAGGAATTTCCCACTTCACAAGTTGAAAGTAAAGAGAGATCAATATTGACATTATTGAATTGCCCCTAAATTTAACACCAATTTGACGGAATAACAAATAGAGGACTAAATTGAGCGAACACACAAAAGTTTGGGACGATATTAAGTCACCAAAGTCGTTTAGGATGCAATTGAGAAAAACCACTATAGTCGAGGATGATTTTGGGTATTAACTCATTTCCCATTCCTTTAGAGCACAAAAGGTTGAACTTAAAAGGAAAAATTATATATTTCTCATAATTAAGCAACAAGCCAGTCAAACTAGTAATTGATGCAAAATTGGCATTTGGCCACAAATGGGCACATACAAAAAAAGTAGCCTTTGCTCAACAACAAAGAAACAATCATTATACTAAACCAAAAAAAAAAAAAAAAGGTATAAAAAAAGAAATTAAATGTTGAACATGTAGGCTTCATCTTGCAGCCCAAATAGATTCGATTGAAATTCGACTAAATTAATTTCATTATGCGAAATACGAATATCAACGCAATACGTAAATAGAATAAGAGAATGTAGACTTCATAACTTTGTATCCTTCATTGATATATTTACATACATATATATATTATCTGTTATACATGTGTAGTATGCCAAAATCAACAATCATCAATATTGCCTTCCTCTTCCAGCCTCCAAGAAATTTCTCATATACAAAAGGAGAAGAAAATAAGCTCTTAACTCTATATACTTTCAGCTGTTACTCTGCACCAGATAACCATCTTTGCCAAGTTCATTGCATTTTTAGGAACCTGACCCGCGATAACACAAGCAGGATCATCGCATCTGCCTCCAGAATCATCCCGAGAAAACACTGGCTCGAAGTTTATATAGATAGATACCGTAGTTTCAAGAGCATTGAAGCCCGAAAACAATGAAGACAGGACTTTATTGCATCAGGTCGCTTTGTTGGGAGGTACCGTTGCACATGCACTCCAGGGCGGGGTACTTTGTCACGTCCCTCCCCGCTTTCCTGAGCTCGGGCTGACCAAAGGAATCTCGGTGCAAGTCCAATATGATCGCGTTGAACTCTGGGTCCGAGAGGGAATGGTTCATGAAGTGTGGGAGCATCTGTCTTTTGTTTGGTGTGATAGTCTTTTTGTGGCCTGCATATGCCCTATGCCCCTATTGGCACAAGTAAAAATCGAAATTACCACCAATAACAGTTCGAATAGGACCTTAGTGAAGTTAACTAGAAGCCAACAAAACCCGAGAATTTTCTTGGTGATTGAATATAGAGTTTTACTACATGATGTGGCGGGCTCTGATAAGTTATTTTTTTCATGTGGATCCAAATACAAGTGTCTAAATCAAGATTTTGTGTGTGGGAGTATAAAATGGGAGTACACATAGCATTTATATATACCTGAATAGCATGGCCCATGTTCCCGCCATGAGATGGCATGAACACATCGCTCTTCTCGGAAACTATGTAGTCGATAGCAGCCATAAGGGATGCCTTCTTCGCAAATGGCTCGAGCTCGCCTGCCAAGGCAAGGTCTTCCTTGTTGTAGAAATGCGGGAATTCGGTTGTCAATGGCAACAACGCCTCTTTCCCACCCAAAGGAATCCCTCCCGCCCAATAGATCCTCGCGGTCCTTGGAGCGCCCAAAGCTTTAAGCAACCTAAATAGAGTATAAAAACGACACTCCTTAGTCCTCATGAACACATGTTGGAAGTGATTGCAAGTAAGAAGCTGCTTACCGAGAAACCTCAAATGCATTTAAAGGGCAAAGACCCGCAAGCTTTCTCTCGTGGTAGCTCATGTTTGATCTCGAAGTTAAAAGCTCGGGTCTCCGCTTTCTCTCATTGCTAATCATCTCATCATACTCACGGCTCAAACCAGGAAGACACCCCGTTCTCACCCACACATCCTTCTCCATCCTAATGTGAAGAGCAAGATATGGCCCTTTGCTCCTCATCCTCTCTGTAAGCTTGTCCCCGAGTTCTAAGATTGATGGGGCAAACCTCAACGCATGAAAAGCCACCTACATGTTTAAACAAAATCCCATGTCAAACTAATGTTTTGCACAATTCTACTCTTAAAAAACGCCATTCTCAAATTAAGCAATACAAGCAAGCACCCAAATTAAAGTACCTTGCATCGAAGTTTTTGAAGATCAGAAGGAAGATCCTTAGAGAGCCTCGAATCCAAACCTCGCAGTAACAGAACACCATCCCTCCTCAGCTGCAAAGTAAAATAAACCGTATGATTATGCCAGTTAAGAAACTCGAGAACTTGTCTTCTACTTCAGCCTCGTAAAGGTCTCAAAAGAAAAGTGATTTGACATTCCTTTCAACATGCCCAAAATTTAACCGGTTTTTATAATTAAAAAGTTTTATTCAGCTGCCCATCACAGCTGTTTATATGCAACTTTTTAAAGTGCTTGGCTCCCTTTCCAGATAAAAAGCTACAAGTACAATCACTCCCATAACTTGAGCTTTGGAATTTTCTCCATGCACTTGTCCCTAAAGGCAACTTATTCGAATAATGCAAGTATGCAACAGTCTTAATTTCCCATAACAGCAATAAAATGACGATTTTTAACTGAAGATCATCAACTTCTAATACTTGGCAATACATGAAAAACCAAAACTTTTAAGCAATTAACAGTCATAGCAAAAGTTTCTTACCCGTTTTGAATAATGGGAGCGAATCCATTGAGGTGAGGCATGGAGAGGAGTACGCTTCTCCTCGACTGGCCTTGTCATTACGTGTGTGGATGGAAGTGAAGAAATGATTCTAACATCATCTGCCAAAACTTTCTTGAAGTGATCCAAGTCAAAAATATCCGAGAATTCACTGCAGAGCAACAATAAACAAGACAGAACAATGGCTTAAGCTCAACAGGTTCAAATATTCCCGGAAAATTCAATTTTCCCAGGAATCAACTTACAAGTTACAACTGAAAGGTAATTCATCATAGCTTTTAAGGGTGTTAATCCTATTGATCAAAAAGTTATCTTGGCATTAAAGTTGTGTTCTTGGTCAGGTTCACCCAAGGGGAATCCTAATCATTGACTGATTTCTTGTCCAAAAAAGGCGAAATCTCTCACCCCAGTCATCACGCCCGACCCCCACGAGGTGTCCCACAAGGAGCCACCCCAAACTCCCAAAGGATCAAACTCTCACACTACGATTGATAGGACTCGATTATACGTTCTTGACCACAATTTGACACCCAGAACCAAACTAAGCTACCCGTGCAGGCATCATTTACTCATTTCTGATTATTGGATCAAAATCAAAGAAAAGAACATCACAAACCTTTCATCACCCCAAATGACATTGACTTGCAAGATGGGAACAACAAGGGCAGCTCCAAGAATCCTTGCAATCACCACAGCATCCACAATCTGATTCCTCTGCTGATTCAATCCCCCAGCCACCACCACCACCAAATACTTAGTCCTATCCTTCACACCCGCCGAGCTAACCTGCTTATACTCCTCACTGAAATCCAAACACGGCCTATACCCCAACCCATCCGGCTGCTTCCAGAACCCACTCTTATTATCTTCCCCTCCCAAACCCAAATACCCATTGGAAACCGAAGCCTTCTCTTGAAGGCTGAAACATGGGATTGGCGAGAAAGGCACCAAGGGCTCAAAGCTGGGCCACAGCCTCAACGTCCCAAGAAACCCGAAGAGGAAGATAAAGCAAACCCAGAACCTGAGACCGCTGAGCAAGCGCCTGAGCCTCGCGGAAACAGAGGGGCTCTTCTGCTTCTTCGGGGAAAGAAGCACCAGAGCTTGGAGTGGCGAGTTGACTATGTCAGACGCCACTGAAATGTAGGACTGCCGCTTCTTCTTGCCGCTGCTCTTCGGCACAGCCATTTCCACAGAAACGAAAGAAGCAGAGCTCGAAACGGTTGTGGATAAAGGAATGGGCTTTTTGATTCTTGAATGTACTCTTCTCAAGGACCCCAAAAAAGAAGCGTTTTTGCTTACTGGGAAAGCCTCCCGGAGAGAGAAAAATGGTGGTGGAAGGGAGAGAAGGGGCGGCGGGAATGCAAAATACGACGATCGATGCGAGTTTTAAATTGGACGGAGTCAGGGAAAAAAGTGTGTGTGCTTTGTCAGACAGGTTTTTCTTTGGGGATTTCAAGTTATATATATGACTTGTGTGACCTCTCTATTTATAATAATAATAATTATTATTATTATTTTATATTTATAATTCCATGCTCATCCTACAAAATTTACCAATTACAATATGATGTGGCATGTTTTGGTGTTTTTTTTATTAGTTACATGTCTTGCAAGCTTCCTAAAAATGTAAAATAAAGCTTGCAAAGGATAAAGAAAACTGTCAAATGACAGAATCAAGATATCTGTTATTAACATTCGAGATATATTGACGCCTCCCAAGCGATCCACAATGTAAAGGGTAGAGTGGCCTTGCGGCCACCATCCTCTGAGATTTAGTCATTTGTTGCTCCAATTTTTCTGTATTTTTTTTTTTTTACTTTTTCTAGTTTTCTTATTATTATATGTATATATTTATTTATTTTATTGAAAGTAATACTGTTTTTTAGAGTGAGAGAATATTGTATGGATGTAGAAAAAATAGGGAAGGATTTGTAAATTTGATGATGTGGAAGTAAGGGCCACTTTTAAAAGTGTGAGAGTATTGCATGGATAAGGATAATCTAACTTATGACTCATCCATCTCATTTTATGTGTTTGATTAAATTAAATAAGTTTAATTAAAATTATTTAAAATTTAAAAATTATATTTAAAGCACTATTAAACATTAAAAAGAATTAATTTTGGTCACGGGATCAAACTTCGATGGTGCGGTATTGACTCTTTGGTCTACAACGGATAGAAAAAGTATATTGAACATATACTACATTGTAATAGAATCGATAGTGTTAAATTAAAAAAAAATATTAAAAATTATTAAATTTAAAAATAAGAAATTATACTAAAAGAACCAAATGAAATAATTCATCTGACTAATAAATAAAAATATAGTAGTTAAAACTTATTCATATGTAAGCTATCCTATTTATAATTTATTATTTAATTAATAATTGATACTCCGTATATCTAAATTAAATTAGTTTTTCTCAATTTATTATGGAGTTGGTTTTTTTTTTTTTTTTTAAACTGATTCTCAATTAAATTAGTTTTTCTCTTATAAATGTGAAATTTAGTACACCATGAAAAAAAATATGCGCAAAGTCGCAAACAACAAGAGTTTTGACGTCTGAACTTTTGATCGCATGCATGTTTGGATCCTATGAATAGCATTAGAATATTGTATCAATCCCTTGTACAAACAACAATAATTAATCTCCAGTTATTAAAGGATACTAGTAGTTGCACCCGTGCAATGCACGGCCATATATATAAATAATAGAATATATAGTATTATATAAAAAAACAAATAGGGTAGAGACAAATTTCCAATTTATTAGACATTATTGAAAAGAATATATAGTATTATATAAAAAACAAATAGGGTAGAGACAAATTTCCAATTTATTAGACATTATTGAAAACTTCTTTATATACGACATTTGTAGTCGTATTTTTAGATTTTACATTTTCATCACAGATAAGTATTTTTAAACCCTTTGGATTACTAACTCTTGACGCTGCTTTATTATAATGATTGATGGTTCCCCAAAAAAACATCCAAAAATTAAAACAACCACACAAAGGTGGACAATTGTCTGCTGAAATATATCAAATATTAGGAACTTAGGAACCATTTAGTGAGCAGTCACAGCCTTGGCCTTCTTAAGCTTGTTGGAAGAAGAAAACTGGTCCAACAGGGATCTCTTCACAACAGAAGCTTCTGCAGTTTCACTCTCTGCCATTTGGGACTGCTGGACACTATTAGGGCTGTTCACTTCATTTTCCCCATTTGAAGCTTCCTATAAATAGAAAAAAATGATTAAAATTTAAAATCTCACATAAAGACTAAAAAATAGTGAAGTAAATAAAATTACCTGATCAGATTCCTCTTCCTCCTCTTCATCCTCATCAATCATTTTCGAGATTAAATCTTTTTCTTGTTTGTCCTTAATTTTGGAACAGTGGGTAGATATTAATATCTCATACCTTAAAATCCTAGTCACAGTATATGCTGGATTGGCTCCCTTCATTTGGCTCATTTTCAGTGATATCTTAAATATCATTGGCATTCCAATTAATGACTCCAATTCCTTTGGAATGTCAGAAACCTACAACAAAGTTTATCTTCCTTTTTTTAAGTGTAATATTTTTTAGGCTTAAAAATTTGATTGAAGGGTTTTGTTTTTTATTAACTGTTCAGTATATAGAAGTGCTTTTGTGTGGCATCTATGTTTGTTATCATACTCCATCAGACTTTTTTTTTTAAACATTCTATATTTTAATATTAGATAAATATAAGATTCCTGGTTTTTAATATAAGATTGAACCTGTAAATAGTAAGTTTGAGTTTCAAAAGCTTTCTATAACATCCAAAATTGTCAGTTAGAAGCTTTTTGTGTTTGTTATCTTCTTTTAGTCCGTTTTAGCTCTTAAATATAAGTGTTTATAAATTTTTAGTTCTTTTAGACTGTTTTACCTCTTAACACAAATGTTTTTCTCACAGCTTCTTAATGAAGAGTCGTTTGATTAATCATGGGGTAAAATGACTTATCTAAAGTATGATATTCAAAAACTGAAACTTAACTTCTAATCTGTCAATTTTGATGAAAAGAAGAATGTTTTTCAAACAATGATGCATGCACCCCAAAAAAAGTTCATGAACTTAACAGAATAAAGTTACCAATGTCCAGTAGGATTAGAACGAAATGTCTAGTAAGGACTACCCACAGCAAAACATCACATAGATGGCTGGAAAGCATTCTTCTTTTCATCAAAATCGACGTACTGTTTCTGTATTTACTATTTACTATATAAAATCGAAAAACCTATATTGCCTTGCACATGTGCAATTTACATTATTAATTATGCCTTTCATTCAACTATGCATTTTATTCAATTATATAACGTTCTTTTATTATATGCAGGATGTGTGTCTTTGAAGTAATAGGATATTGGGTTAAAAAATGAGAGTTCGCTATGGTATCCAGAGCAACCCAGGTAAATGTTACTCAGTAACTTATTCCAATGGAATTAAAAATCACCAACCTAAACCATGAACCCTAAACCCCGGAACATAAAAATCACCAACCTGCAAAAATTGTATAATATTTAGCCAAAACAGAAACTTTTTTGTTAGGGTAAAATCAAGTATGCTTACCAAATTGTGAAATCCCTTATGCCTCTTTAGGACTGTTTGTACTGCATTATCCATCTTGCTTGCTTGCAACTGAAAACTTTTTGTGATTCATGCTTGTAAATAAAATCTTATATATTTATATATACATACCACTTTCTGTCATATATTTTCATAGCAACAATATAGGTTAGCTGTGTGTATTTGCATTGAAAATTACAACTGCCTCACTGGTTTCCATCTGATGAAATAATCTTTGTATATGAAAATAACTAAACAAAAAGGCAAATGATGAATACTACCGTCTGATGCCTAAGCCATAAGCATGTAACTGTCAGTTACTATTTCACTTCTAAAACTCACAGCATTGTGCTAAGTGTGTGTATACAAAGATTTAACAAATGTGCAGGTGTTCTCAATTCTAAGCCTCACCTTAATCTTCAAGCAACTGTGTTGTTCCTCTTCAACAGCAATATGCATAGATGGCATGGTATCTTCACACAGATTTTGGTTCTTCGTTTCTAATTTGCGGGTGGTTCAAACCGGGGAGATGGTGAACTTGGGGGTGAATATTGATATGAAGGAGCTTTATATAGAGGCTGAAATTTGTTCTCCAATTTTGAATATTGTCTTGGAACTATGAATCTTGCTGGAAACGTTTGAAGACCCAAGACTACATTAAAGAGATTGTTTTTTCGAAGCATTTTATGTATGTGTATATCTATATATATATATATATATATATATATATATATATATATATATATATATATGTAAATAAATGTAGATTATAGGTTAGTTTCTCAATGTAATTAGAAGTCTTTCATTATTAAAAGTGTAATTACATTGGTAATTGACAATCTTAGCCGGCAGTATCACATTGAAAAGCGTAAGGCAATGTGAACACAATTAATTAGACTGATTGTGTTATCTATCATTAAAACGACGCCGAATTCTTTAGGCGGGAAGATGTTTTAGGTAGAAACTTAGTGCTTTATTATAATGATAGATTCTATTTAATTAGTAGTTGTCCTAGTGCGCATGTATAATATTTATATTGATTAATTGAAATTGTTAATTGTTTTCCATGCATGAATAATCACATTAGTTTTGATAGTTTCTTTCTAGACCGGTGAAGACCTACTTGAACAATTGCACTATGTCGTTCTTAAATCAAGTGGTCATATATATATATATATATATATATATATATATATATATATATATATATATATATATATATATATGATCGCGTTCAGGTGCGAACTGCCAGCCCAGAAGAAAAATGAGAACCATTCAGCGTCGTCCACGTGTCTAGATGAATGAATCAGATGTAATTTTAAAAAAACGACGTGGTGGTATTTTCGTAAATAACTCGAACTTTGGTGCATGTAAATGTGTTATAAGTGCAAGTAGTTGATGTACCTTTAAAAGTAAAAAGTGCAGTTAAAATCGCTTACAAATGCACTTACTTCCACCTACAAGTACATGTAATTTTGCCTTGTTAACATCCAAAACGCACACCCCCTCCAAAAAAAAAAAAAAAAAAAGACTTCCAAAGTAATAATGATGAGTTAGGCAAGAATCTGGTTTACTTTCATGCATGCAATAATATGTTTGGTACTTCATTACATCGTTAGAAAAAGAAATAATTAATTTCTAATATAGGAGTCAAAACAAAGGTTTTTATGGTGTAACTAATACCTTACCAGTTCCATTGAATTTGCTTGTTTGGTATAATTAGGGTTAGCCACAAGCTTTTACAATATCCTACTCTTAAGAAAAAAAAAAAAAGAATTACAATTTAATATATTTTCACTTTAAATTTATCGAACCAATCAAAATAAAAATACTATAACTCAAAATATAATA